GCAAGTCCCACTCGCACTTGGCCGGTTTTTCCTGAACGTGCCAAAACAAAAATAAAAATTGTAATTGGGTCATTTAGATAAGTACCCATTAAATATTTCCCCAATAAAGATCGCCGTAAACGAACGCAATAGGGCGCCATTTAGGTCTCGCATATAGCACCGGTTAGTCTCAATGGCGGGATCGAGTGGTCCAAAAGATTTACGATATGCGCACCGGAAGGCATGAGCCCGGGCTCAAGCCGCTATTAAATATTATTAACAGTTACATTCTTAGATGGTAAGACGATACTCTGCGCCGCTGCCGACTGCCCGCAGATCGCGCGATAATGTGCGGCTCAGTTCTGGACGATAACGACGGAAATATCACCAGGCGCACTCGAAATGGTATCAGTGGTGGAATATCGACGGAGTGATTTCGATTTGTCACAAGCTTATGAGTGTTGCATGAAACCATTTTCCTTTTCCGTACGCCGCGATGATTTATTAAAACTGAGCCAATTTCCTTTGAGTATAGTAATAATGTGCTAAAAGTAGGTTTGTTTAAATTGATGATTTTTAACACAATGTTTGATCTACACTGTACATATACGCACCATGGAAAACATAAAGATTTCAAGGTTCGTTTGATATCATTTATGTGACATCTTCATTTAATGTAAAGTTTATAACGATTAACAGGGATTAACAGCGATTTATTACGTGTTTAATGATGTGTATTTTCTCACCATGGAGAAGTGTGGTAAGCGTGGCAACTTTACAGTTGTTAATAATAATTATAAGCAACGCAGAAGAAGTCCTGAATTCATCCATAATCGAGATACAGGCTGGGTGCCCTAAGCGCCCGGCTACCTCGAGCCTGGTCGTTGACCCAGCCAAAAGAAAACGTCCTAAAATAAAATAAACAGTCTTAGAAAATAGCATAACTGATTGTTATGAAATGTCATGAGATGAAAGAGAAAGAATTCGTTAGAAATTCCATCGTGCACATGAATGTGTATGAATATAATAGTCAAACTGTTATATTATAAGAACTGGAAACTGCCTTTAAAAATGTATTGATATTTTAGTAAATTAGTTAAAGTAATCCATTTAAGAAGTTACATGAACTTACAGTTATCATGGAGTGTACAAGAAATTATTTTTTATCGATATGCGTGTGAGTGTGGCAATAATTTAAACAATTTTATAACTTAATTGCAAATACATTTATTTATCCAAAATTTACAACATTCGATCTATCTGTATTACACATTATCTAATAAACCTAGCCCACGCTGCATGGTGCCAAGAACGCTAGCTGCATATCCTCGCTGAATATTTATGCTTAACCTTTGAGCGAGAAAAGAACCAGCTCTCTTGTCACCAGCAGCGGTGTTAAGCCTAGGGCGTAAACCTTTCAAAAATTTCGATGTACGGGGACCCCACGTACCCAAAGTTTCTACAGCAATTGACACAAATATAATTAATCTAAACAAAGTACAACATAATCTAAAAACATATTTGCGACACTTATTTACTTGCCTCCGATGCCGCCCTGACCCTAACCAAAGTACCCCTTAGATGAGATACAGCCGATGTGTCTACACAAGTAACATCCAAAAAGAGAGCTTTGTTAATTTTTAATTAATAACTTAATTGAAAACAAATTTAATATTGAAATATGACAAATAAAGTATCAGTAACTTTTCAGGTATTGAATAAAGTAAAGTAAGTAAAGTAACAGCCAATACATGTCCCACTGCTGGGCAAAGGCCTCCTCTATACAGAGGGTATTAGGGCATAGTCCACCACGCGGCCCCAATGCGGATTGGCGGACTTCACATATTTTCGAAATATATATTTTTTGTTATTATTTCGAAAATATGCAGGTTTCCTCACGATGTTTTCCTTCACCGCGGAGCACGTGATAAGTCAGCACTTAAAGTTAAAAACTTCATTGGTGCCGGCACCGGGGATCAAACTCAGGTTGCTCGAGTATATTGAATTAAAGGCGAACGCCCGGACACTGAGCTATCACGGCTCTTATTATTATATAGGTATTGAATAATTTACAAAAACATAAGTAAATGTATAAATAAGTTCAGCAGCCAACGTCGAATCCAATAGCTCGTTCTCATCATCCAGAAGTGTATCGATCGTGCAATTCTCACAGCATAATAACGTGTTATCCAAAAGCCCGGACAACGATTTCACATTGGAGCTCATTACAATATTGCGGGTTACGTGGGCAATCAGTGTTTCGTTTAGGTACAGTCGCACGTAATAACATGGACATGGTTAGGAAGGTTCTCTTACTTCATTTTAATTATACAGACTGCTATTTTAAATAATTATTTTGATACATTGGGTTGGAGGTGACTGTACTGTTCGTAAAGTTCGATGAAATGGAAGAATAATTTAAAAAAAACGAATAAAAAAGATATGTACTTTATTGTCTTAAAATAATATATCATACTAGCGGACCGGACAGACGTTGCCCTATACACACGACTTAAATTCGACAACTTAGAAATAAAAAAAAATTGTAGTGGACCGAATTGTGAATCTAAGCAATTCTAATCGAATTCGAAGCGACCGGAAGACACACAAAAAATTTCATTAAAATCGGTTCAGCCGTTTAGGAGGAGTTCAGTAACATACAAACGTAGAGTAGAATTATATATATAAATATATAGCCATAGATTTGTTTTGTTAAATAGTAATACTGTACGTGAAATCGAACGAAATTTTCGAATTTTAAATAATTTTCATTTTCGAAATTTTCACAGATGACGTATTTCTGTTGCCGCTATAACAAAAAATACTAAAAAGTGAACAAAAATGTTTACGTGGAGCTCTCAAACAACAGACATGATTTTTTTGCCGTTTTTACACGGAACCCTTCATGCGCGAATCTGTCTTGCACTTGGCAGATTTTTGCTGGTTTTCTGGTCTGTCTATCTGTTCTGTTACATTTTGAAATAAATTTCGTTTGATATATTATTTGATATTTCGTCTTGGGTGTTACCGAGTTCACTGTTACCATGACCGAATGTTATGACACGTTCTTGAGTTAACTATGATGAACGTTGTTCCTTAAGTTAGGTAAATAGTTATGTACAAAATCACTTCGCGCGTTTTGATGCTTTACAGTATCCCTGCCGATGGTGAGGTGTCGACGTCACGTCCCGAATTCGCAGCGAAATTACAAAGAACTTAAGTGAAATTCGCCGCGCACAGATTCTGTAATGGCGGGGGCATTTAATGAGAGCTGTCCGAGGGACAAGTGGCGGCGAATTTATGCCCGGGAAAAAATTATATCGGGACCTAATTGCGGGTGTATTAAATAATAAAGCGTGGGCAATAACCACGGGTTGTTCGGCACTTGCTAAGAGATAGTCTCGTGATTTTGTTGGACGTGCATTTCATTTTGAATATATGTTGAAATAGTGGCAATATCATTTTAAAGATATGTTAAAAGAGGGGTACAATATTTCAACACTCTCAGAAAGAGATTTTGCTGTAATAGGGCGGGGTTCTTATCACCTCACTTACCAGGAAGAATTCTCAAAGTATTAACTTCGCATAAATTTTCAAACGAATACAGTAGACTCTGCTGCCACAAGAATTACACTACAGAGGCTATTACTGTATTCGTTTGCTATGGTGGCTGATGTTCTTTGACGTTCCTTTGATACCATAGTATCAGTAGGTGACCTTTATTTTTACAGTTGCTGGTCTGTTAATTGCTTCTGTATAAACAAGACCACTTGCTGTAGAAGGAGACTTTTGTTTCTTAAACATAAGAGACATCATGTAGCCTGAAGTGTCTTCTGTTTAAGGCGGTAATTCATTTGGATAGCATAATTGGGATTCTTTTAGTACATAGTACTATTGAAATGTGAATGGCCGTTGAAACAGCCCGACCCCATGTCTTATTTGCAATTGAAAATGCTGCCATATCACCCGGCGCGATTCCGAAGCCGTTTAAGTGTATATTCGTGTAACCGGGCCCGCTGTGAACTAGAGCGTGGAACGACATGACCCGTCCGGTACAAGGTTGCGGGGAAAACTAATGTACAACGGCTTAATAGCGTCAGCAAAGTGGTGGTGGCTTGAGTGCTATTTCGAAGTGCTATTTGGAATCTCAGTAGCTTGAGCTAATAAGTTTTAGAAAGTCAAGTTACTGGTCATGGATCGCTCCGATTAATCTTTTTAAGATAAACACGCGAGAATTTATTGGTGTTCTAACTATTTGTTCATACTACTTTATTTAGCTTCAACTGACTTAGGCTTGACTGAAAACTCATTTATAGACGAGGTATCGATGCCTTAAATAAGAAGGACGACGCTTCAGTTACAAGGCTTACAAAGTACATATTTTGTCCTAAGAATATAACAAAGCGAGCAACATTACAACGTCGCGATTGGTAAAACAGCGTGGTAACCCAGAACTTACCAAATTGCTTACCAACTTACCACAAAGCGACGCCGTCAATTGGCATAATAATGTAACAGCGCACTATTGGGTATATGCTCTTATGTAAATTACTTTACCGTATCGTTTTTGTATCGCATAAAAGTAAACCGATAATCACGTAGAGTTACACCCAGATCGGGTACAAGTAGTTATTATTTCTAGATCGTGAAATTACTTCTTCCGGAGGCTCAAACTCACGACGTGCAGATGTGCAGATTGACTAATAAAGCCAGTGTTTGCGCTGGCAACACTGTACACGTTCAAGGTACGATCAAGATAAAATCGTTAGAACTCTCATACATGGCCTGCAGAGTTTAAAACTAAAACAATTATTTCAAATTCACTAGATGGAGTGACGATGGAGTACCCTGTGCAAAATTGCGTGAATTCGATGGATACATGTGGCTCAGGATCGTGCTACATGGCCGTCTGTGGAGTAGACCTATCATATTATATATATATATATATATATATATATCGAACAGTATGAAATGATGATGATAGTAATGACTGTGCCTCCATCTTCGCATACCTTCAACACCGGTTACTACGCAGCCGGCACCAATCCTTCAACTCAATGAGGATATTATCCTCATGTTCCTCTATTACCTCCCAGGACTGGAGGTCCGAATTGTACAGCTTCTGGTTTGAACTTTGACCTTTCGCCGGCTTCAATAAAGAACGTTTATCGGCTTCATTATTATGTATTATTGGAAATACTTTCGCGTCCCCGATCTCGTTAACCACCCGCGGCATAACTTCGCCGCTTATAGACTTAAGCTGAGGACGGATGGCACATTAAATCAGCTGTTTAACCATTTCGGGCTAATGAAACAAAAGCGCACCTCATATGATCCTTTTTTATGTGAAACAAAATAACTTACACTCAACGAGTATAGCCGTGCACTCGATGCGTATATAAAGGCCAATAAATTCCCGGCGGCAAGTCCCTTCGTGCGGTCGATGAAATCTTAAAAGTGGGAAACTAGCCTTTAAAGCCACACCGAAAGAGGCGTGATGAAATCAAGCGACCCGCAGCTGTTACTCGGCGGTGCAGTAGTCAAGATTGCTCATTGAACGTATAAATATGTGCATCGCTCCGTTACGTGTATCCGAATTTATTTGGAGAATCGAGATCTGAAGATTTCGAGGACATTGCTTCGATCGCAGTATGCGATTTTTTAGCCGATTCCAAAGGGAGTTATGTGAGCCGAGATAATGTATACGTACTGTGGCTGAACACAATTCTTGTGTCCGTTTTCACCATCGATCCCTAACTTTAAGGGACACCCAAAAAAATTTACCACCGCTTAAGTGTCACGCTAAAGACTTTAGGTGACATTGAAGACTTTAGGACACTTAATCGGAAGATCTATTCGTAATTTGACCATATTTAAAAAAAATAATAGACACAAAAGAATAATTATATCTAAGGATCCGTTCCTCGTAGCAGGAATGATGAAGTATTAATTTAATTTTACTGGTTAGGTCTTTTTAATTGCACGCAAATGTTCTTTAAACATTGCCCTGACTGTAGGATAACATTATCCTGTGCTGTAAGGACGTTTTACATAGATAAGCGTCACGTGGCCAAACACCAAGATTCGTAAACATGTATCAGCTGTGCGTGACACAAGTAATTGTCCCGCGTGGGAATCGAACCCACGATTCCCATTGCCGGAACCAACCTTGGCAAATGTGACATGGAGTCGTCAAGTTATTGTAACATATATTTTCAATACAAATTATTTGGAATGAAAATTTATTTATTATGCAACTTATTTAATTGTAATTAATTAATTAATTTGATCGGATGCAACGTTTAATAACGGTGGTCACCGCCACGCCACATTCGATATTGTATTATATCACGTTTCATTCAACTGATATTTTGGTCGAATGAAATGTGGATAACTTTAAAATTTATAATTTTTACAACAAAACTAAAGTCTTTTCGCCCAGCCCTTGAAGTGTCTCATCAACTTGCTTTTGATTTTATTTCTGTCACTTTAAATTAATATCTATCAGAATATCGGGTGCAAGTATTTAGTATTTTTAAATTATTCTTTTTTTAGGATAATATTACGTTAAACTAAATTTTGGTAATAGTATAATATAGAATTAGGGCTTTTTGTAAAGTGTTGTTTTTCGATGATTGTTTATTCTTTTTTTTAATGTGAAAAGTTACCAATCGAGCAGACGGTCCACCTGATGGTATGTTGTGATGAAGTGAATACCGCCGCCCATAGACTGCTACACCCGAGGGTTGCAGATGCGTTGACAGCCTTTTGAAAATTGGGCTCCGGCTACCTTACTCACCAGACGAAACGCGAAAGTATTATACTTCCACTTTATACCGGTCTTCTGTGAGGTCATGGTACTTACCCGGATGAGCCTGCCTATTCGTGCAACAGCCGAGGCTGCAGCGTAGCCATACCACCGTAAATTCTGATGATCAAATAAATTACATTTGTTGCAACAACTCTTTTTTAAATGTTAAGGACTGCGGAAGATAAGGTACCAAGGGATATTTGCATAGATAATGAAAACGAGGATGAATATAACAATCAATCTTTAATTTTTTTGAAATCAAAACAAGGATTACCTACTGTTTATTAAAACAGTAAACTTTGTCACTAATCAGTGACAAAGCTATAACTAGGGTGGCTTCGTCCCCCGTGAGGAGTTGCCAGATCTCCCATCGGGCGCGTCCCCAGGTGGCGGATAGGGGAATGCCACCCAGATATGGGTGGTAGCGGAGTACCGTCGTGGACCAAAACTGGCTGGGTTTGGGGCGTACCCTCGAATCTATTGTGATTCGAGAAACGGCCAAGAGGGAATCCTGCGAAGGATTGCCTACGAGGAGGGCCTTAAGGCTCTTTGTCACTCCATGCTTCTTTCAACAAGAAAGAACAGTGGACGTGACAAGTGCGGTGAAGTGCCAGGTGCACTTCGGATTTCACCGACGCCGCACAACCCGTAAACCTTCGGGAGCGGGGGCCATGAGTGGCCAAGAGGAAGGTAACCTCTATAAAAAATCCCCCAACCCGTAAACCTTCGGGAGCGGGGGCCATGAGTGGCCGAGAGGAAGGTAACCTCTATAAAAAATCCCCCAACCCTAAGGTCGAGCGTGCCGACGGGTGAATGGCTGGTGGGAAACCAGTCCCAAGCGCTCAGGGGGGGGAGGGGAATTTCAGGGACCAAACCCTAGCAAAAAAGGAAAAACATGGAAACAGTGCATGGAAACAATCCACCCCTAGGCCTAGCCTAGGAGAATCCCCATCTAGGCCTAGCCTAGGGGGGGGGGGGGGGGGGGGGGGGCAACACACTGTTTTGCGGCGAAATATCTGCTTCGTCCGCGGGTCCCCTAACATCCGGGGACCAACTTATTGGGGAGGGAACTAAGCCGGTGAGACCTGTAGTCCCGACACGCTGTTCGAGGGGAAGGCGTGGTAGACGAGGGCGCTTAGCACTCTCTGGTGATGGAGGTGAGTCTGATGGCTCGCAATTGTCACTCGTATCAGCTACATCAGAAGATAATCGTAAGAGGAAGGTTAAGGCTCCGAGTGTTAAGGCTGTGGCTGCTAAGTACAAGGCGGTAGCAGCCTCTGCCTCGGTAACAGCGACTGAAGGGGAAGAGCTAGCCACTGAGATTGACACGGAAGAGGATCTCGACGATCTTTCATCGTCATTATCGAGGTCCAAACCAAAAATGACTCTACCCAGCACGGAAGAGTTAGCACTGGAGTTTCGTTCTCAATCAGGCGCAGTAATTGAGGACCATATTGACCAACATCTACAGGCCATTGAGGAGGTAGCGGACAGATCCCGAAATTTAAAGGGAAGCTTCGCCCAGGGATTAAGGTTGGCCGTGCGACAGCTCAAAGCGGCCGCCGGCGAACTTGCTAGGAGGTCAGCGGCCGATGATGTTATCGCAAGGCTGGAGAAAGAAAATGCTAAATTGCGTTCGGCCCTCTCAAGCCTAAGCATAAGAACAGAAAAACTAACGGAAGAAATAAAGCGTTTCCGCGAGCAGTCCCATTCAGACTTTACTAACGTACCTGGAAAGTCAACGCGAGTTACAAAGCACTCTCGTGAACAGAAAACCTAATGGAGCACATTGGGATGCTGATCGAGAGTAAGCTCATGGCATTCGAGGCCAGGTTATTTCCCGATAAAGCAATCCGCCCACCATTGGGAGAAAAGATTGTAACACGTCCTAGTACACTGTCAACGACGATACAGCAACCAGCGTCGGTTCCATCGCAGCACAAAATTAAAAAACCAAAACTGCGAAAGAAGAAGAAGCCCATACATCCACCAGTGATCGATTTGCCACCTGTAGATGCGCCAGTACTGCAAGCATCTACACCTGCAATGACAAACTCATGGGCAGACGTGGCTAAGAAGGCAAAAATACAAAATGTTGGGTCCAACCGTGCATCCAGGCAAGAGAAGAGGAAACTGAAAGTTCTCGTGCCCCAAAATCTGCAGCTGTAACCATTACGCTAGTAGAGGGTTCCACGAGTACTTATGCTAAGGTTATGGAGGTCGCCAAAACTAAGGTTCAACTTGAAGATTTTGGTATTGAGGCATTACGACAAAAGCGCGCTGTGACCGGGGGCATCTTAATGGAAATCAGTGACCCTGAATGCGGCCCCAAGGCTGACAAATTGGCGGCCAAACTACGAGAGGTCCTCTCAGAATTGAATGTCCGTGTGAATCGTCCGATTAAAACGGGGGACGTTCGGTTGAGGGACCTCAACGACGCTGTCAGCCCTCCAGAACTAGCGGCAGCGATTGCTGAGGCGGGAGGTTGCTCAGTGGATGACGTAAAAGTTGAACAAGTCTACCGATCTCCAACTAGCATGGGAACATGTTGGGTACGTTGCCCAATTACGGCAATCCAAAAAATAGCGGCTGTCGGGCGCGTGAAAAAAGGGTGGGTGTCCGCTCGGGTGGAATTTCTAGAACCCAGGCCTTTGTTCTGCTACAGGTGCTTGGAGAAGGGTCACGTTGGCAGCCGGTGTCCCAACAATGTCGATCGCAGTGAACGTTGCTACGCCTGTGGAGAGTCAGGGCACAGGGCTAGAGATTGCAAGGCAACAGTCCTCAAGTGTCCAGTCTGCTCGGATCTTGGACGCCCCCCTGGGCACCGTTTAGGTAAGAAATGCTTCGTACCACCGAAAAAAAGTGCGGTGAAAAATAAGCAATCCTCTTATGTTCCCACTGACAAAACAAACACAGTGGCAGGAGTAATAGAACTGAGTTCAAGCTCGGTGATGGAGGTTGAGGAGGCAAAAAACACGAACCCCTAAAAGTCCTTCAGGGTAACCTGAATCACTGCCGCAACGCTCAAAATCTGCTCATGCAGACTATTGCGGAGTGGAAGGTTGCCCTAGTCGTAGTCGCAGAGCCCTACGTTGTGCCTGACCACCCCCGTTGGTTCGGTGATGACTTGGGCTCCGTAGCTATTCACTGGGGGGGGGGGGGGGGGGGGTGAAAAGAATGCCCCACCCTGCACCCTGTTGGGAAGGGGGCAGGGGTATGTTGCGGTACAATGGGGGACACTGGCCATTGTTGGCTGCTATGTCTCACCTAACAGCTCACTCGCCGACTATCAGTTGTACCTGGACGAGGTGGCTGACATCATTCGTAGGTTGTTACCTCGCCCAATTATTGTCCTGGGGGATTTTAATGCCCACGCTAGGGAGTGGGGGAGCCCTAGAAATAGTCCGAGGGGAGAGACCATAAAGGAATGGGCGGCTGGCCTGGACCTCCGGCTACTGAATCGAGGGTCTATAAGTACTTGCGTACGATGGCAGGGGGAGTCGATTGTAGACTTAACATGGGCGACCCCCTCCGTAACACATTTGGTTTCAGGTTGGCGGGTTGCTGAAGAGATAGTCACACTATCCGACCACCGCCACATTGTCTTCAATGTTGCAACCCGCCAGTCCCGTTTTGACTGCAACCATAGTAGCAACAGCCCTCCGCGACGTTGGTGCCTTAAGCGGCTAGATCGGGACATGCTCCAAACCGCCGTCATCATTGCGACATGGTCAAAAAAGCCCGAAGAGGTTCCTGTCAACCCAGAGAGAGAAGCAAACTGGTTCCAGGATTCTATGGCTCAAGTTTGCGATATGTCGATGCCCCGCATTGGTAGCCTCAAGCAGAGGGCGGTGTACTGGTGGTCAGTAGAAATAGCTCAACTGCGTGCAGTAGTATAGCAGACGCCAGTACACTAGAGCCCGGAGAAGACGGCGAACTCCAACCGAGGATACAGCTAGACTGTACAATGCGTACCGAGAGGCTACTAAGGCATTGCAGACGGCAATCAGTCATGCTAAATCTCGGTCCTGGAATGAACTCCTGGAGGAGCTCAATCAGAATCCATGGGGGCGCCCATATAGGATGGTGCTGGGTAAGCTCCGACCCTGGATGCCTCCATTGACGGAAATGCTTGATCCGGACCTGCTGGAACGAGTTATCAACTCACTATTCCCGATAGGCCAGTCAAGTCCCTCAGGCCACAACCTAGTTCCGTGGCAGTGGCAAGATCAGATGGGTGTGACAGCGCAGGAGCTGGACAGAGCTATAAGTCGCTTGAGAGCTCGAAACACGGCGCCAGGTCCTGACGGAATACCGGGGCGAGTCTGGGTGTTGAGTATAACCGTACTAGGGGAAAGTTTGAGGCAGTTATTTACTAGCTGCCTCCGTAACGCAACTTTCCCTACGGCCTGGAAAATAGCAAGATTGGTCCTGTTGAAAAAGGAAGGCAGGGCTGCAGATTCTCCCTCTGCATACCGTCCCATATGCCTGTTGGACGAGATTGGTAAGATATTCGAGAGGATTCTTGCCACTCGTATTAACGAGCATTTGTCACGCGTCGGTCCGATCTCGCCGAAAGCCAGTTTGGCTTCCGGCGGGGGCGTTCGACAATAGATGCAGTCATGCGCGTCCGTACCTTGTCGGAGCAGGCGACTTCCTGGGGTGGCGTGGCATTGGCAATTAGTTTGGACATTGTCAATGCCTTTAATTCGCTGCCCTGGGTTGCCATTAGTGGGGGACTTGCGTACCATAATGTGCCTCCCTATCTGCAAGGCGTTATCAATGACTATCTGCGGGAAAGGTATATCCTATACACAGACAAAGACGGTAGAAAGATCCAGAGGGAGATCCACTGCGGCGTTCCACAGGGGTCTGTGCTTGGTCCGTTACTGTGGAACGTGGCGTATGATGCAGTTTTGCGTGTTGATCTCCCATCTAACGTTAATGTCATATGCTATGCAGATGACACGTTAATAGTCGCTAGCGGGGACACCTTTGCGTGGGCAAAAGAGCTAGCCGAGCTTGGGGCAGAAATTGTCGTCGTCGGCAAGATCCGCGAGTTGGGTCTAGAGATAGCGCCACACAAGACCGTGGCTCTATGGTTTCCATACAATGCCAAGAGGCAGAGAACCACCCGACTCGTGCATCCGTGTGGGTGGTCTGAGGTCAGGGTGAGCAAATACATGAAGTACCTGGGCCTACACTTGGATAGCCGCTGGGGATTTGAAGAACATTTCGAGCGCCTGGTCCCCCGGATCGAGAAGGTAGCGGGTGCAATGCACAGACTGCTACCTAATCTTGGGGGACCGAGGGAGGAAGTTCGCCGCCTCTATGCTGGGGTTGTACGATCCGTAGCTTTGTACGGGGCACCCGTTTGGGCAAAGAGGCTTTCTACTCGACGCTGTAGATCTAAGGTCTATAGCGTTCAGAGACGGATAGCTATACGGGTCGTACGAGGATATAGAACCCTATCATTCAAGGCGGCAACTGTCTTGGCTCGCTTCCCACCCCTAGATATACTGGCGGAAATGGATGCGCGGGTGTACCACCGAAAACGCGCCCTCCGTCAGAGTGGTGGTAGTGAGCCAGAAGAGGCGCTTGAATCGATTAAACGGCAGGAACAACGGAGAGCTTTCGCGACATGGCGGTCTCGGCTCAGTCAAGAGCAATACGTGCATAAGCGAGTAATTGAAGCCTTCCTGCCGGTCTTCGACACCTGGATGCAGCGGCGACAAGGTAGACTCACCTACAGGCTAACACAGATAATCACAGGGCATGGATGCTTTAGTGATTATCTGTGGAAGATTGGTCGTGAGGCGACGGCAATTTGCTTCCACTGTGGTGGGAACAACGAAGACTCTGCAACGCATACCTTGGCGGTGTGCCCTGCCTGGGATGCGGAGCGGAGTGTCTTAGTGGGCCACATAGGGCGAAACCTCGATCTGCCTGCAGTCGTGTCGGCGATGATGAGAGGAGAAGCAACGTGGAGCGCCGTAGCGTCTTTCTGTGAGACTGTAATGGTCCAGAAAGAGGCTGCTGAGCGGGATAGAGAGAGAACAGATCCCACTCGGAGACGGGGCCACCGACGCGCCCATGTGCCTCGTCACGGCTCTCCTAATAGAAATGGTGCTCCCCTACCAGAAACAGGGCCTCAGGGGTCCTGAGCGATTGGGGCGAAGCCCTCAATTGCCAAGTAAAGCTCCCATGGAGATCGGTGGTTAATTAGTGTCCACCACGGGGATGCTGGGGCCAGCGTAATGCAGTCCCCAAACGAGCCTATCATAGGCAAGCTAAGGGGGGGCCGCGGAAGCGTTCCGAAAGGAGATCCCGTGACCCCTCATCAGAGCAGATGGCGACTACCGTGGGGTTTTAGTCGGTGCGAGTCCGACATAACTTGGTTCTTCCCCAAACGGAAAGCCTGGTATCCATAACGGATTTCCCCACGTAAAAAAAAAAAAAAAAAAGGGTGGCTTCGTCCGATTCTTTCTTTTATGGCTTTTCTTCTTTTACACTTTATTTTCGAAATTATGTTGGCTACTATACTTTAATGTATGGAAACTATTTCGGAAAGACTTTATGAATATTTGAGACTTGTTTTTTTAAAATAAAATTCATTAGTTATGTGTTAAATACTGTAGTTATACATAAATACTTTTATTACTTCGTTATGTGTATTATACTGTATAAAAACTTTTATTACTTCGCCTTGATAGCTCATTGTCCGGGCGCTCGCTTTTAATTCAATATACTCGAACAACCTGAGTTCAATCTTCGGTGCTGGCAGCAATGAAATTGTTAATTTCAAGTGTTCACATTACGTGCTCAGCTGTGAAGGAAAACATAGTGAGGAAACCCGCATATTTCAGAATTAATATACAACCAGATATATTTTAAAGACATGTGAGGTATGCTGGTGATAAGGAGACTTCCGTTCAGCTCAGGGACATGTGTGCTTCACGTTCTTTACATGTTTGCTAGGATAATTCCATTTTTCTTACTGTTAAATTGTTTAAACACATGTCCTTTGTTTTAAATTTTGTGGTACAAACATATAAATAAGAAAAATTTTACTTTATTGTAATCTGATAAGATAATTGTCGTTTAATGTATCATTTTTCTTTTAGGACAGCTTATTTTTTTTTAAATGGCTTTAGTTTTCTACAAAA